GACAATTAATAAGTGCTTTTCTCCATAGCCCTTGGCATGTATCCCCCCTTACCCTGTATTTTAGTATGCACTATATACCTTCTTCACTCTGACTGGTTTTGGCAGTGACCCACAATCTAAATCTCTTTCCTCCATTTGATATAAGTGAAACTATAATTATCTAGGGGTAATTTCAAATTACCACTTCATTCCACTAGCAACTGATGAAGATTAGTGGTCTTGCCTTGCATCTTAGTAAGTCAGCAACATAATCACAAGAGAACTCAGCAGGCAACATTTGATTCATGTGAACTCAATTACTGCTGTCAAACACATTCACTTCAATAAAAAGCAGAAACTTCCAAAATGGATTTTTGCTAATAATTTCGTACTCAAAAAAAATTTCATATGACTCTTAAGGGAAAAAAATAGCATGCATTTCATCAGAAATAATAATAAATAACAAGTAGGGAAACATACTAGTATAAATGGATTTAATACATTATTAGTTTCTGAAAATAAAAAACATTTCAAAGAAATAAATTTGTATACATAAAGCAATTTATTATAGAAAATTCAGGCATATGAGCAAGCCTTAGAAAAATAAAGGCACTCTCTATTTTAAGTTAATGCAAAAGAAATGAGAATATTTTGTTACCTAATTAAAACTAGATTATTCCTGGGTAGCCAATTTCTCTTAAAGGAAGTAAAACCAGGGGCCATGCAGATGATAAATCATGAATTGCTAAATGGACAGAGAATCCTGAATCATTTCTTGATTGTCTTATGGGTTGAAGCCGTATGTTAATGAGCCACCTAGCATTCTGAATCCTGAAGCCTTGGTCTCTAAAGCCCTTGGGTCTACTTCATTATGCCCTGTATGTATATCAGTTCACATGAACAGATCTGACAGCAGCTACCTGGTCAGCTCCTAGTAGAGAATTTGTAAACATTGATATGTAATACTACAACAGATTTTCTTAAACTTCAGCTTCTTGATATGGTTATATCCTTAATTAAATCCCAATATATTTTGATTAGCAAAGAGACTGAGTAATGAAATGTAAATACTAAGGCTACAAAAATCACTAAGATGGCCTTTATAATAGTTAATACATCATATGTCAATCATATGTGATTCAATATTTGGAACTTGAAATGTTGGCATGAGACTCTTAGGACTAAGAAAGTATTAACTTAAAAGACATATTTGTCAATGAAGCAATGACTTTCTAGAGAGAAATACAAAGGTAAAATAACTCAGTATAGTACCCTCCCCACTCAGTGGTTTTGCTTTCCTCTGTTTCAGTAACCATGACCAACTACAGTCCAGAAGCAGATTCTCCTTCTGACTTATCCTCAAAAGGTCAGTAGTAGCCTAACACTACATAACAATGCCTACATCATTAGCCTCACTTCATCTCATCATGTAGGCATTTCACCACCTCACATCACAAGAAGAAAGGTGAGTACAATATAATAAGATTTTATAGAGAGGGAGCACATTCACATAACTTTTATTATAGTATATTGGTATAACTATTCTATTTTATTATTTGTTATTGTTGTTAATCTCTTTCTGTTCTAATTTACAAATTAAACTCTATCATAGGCCTGTAACCACAGGATAAGATGTAGCATATACAGGGTTCAGTATGATCTGTGTACTCAGGCATCTCCTGGAGATCTCGGAATGTATCTTCCACAGATAAGGGGGAACTACTGTAATTTTAAGCACAGTATTCTTTTATGATTTTGTCCATTCTACTTCCTCTTTTAAATTAATTTTCCCTACCTCTTGCCTTTTGATGTTTTTATCATTCTTTAAAATAATATACACCATCCTTGTCAACCAGGAATATGTAGTTAGTTGGGGTAGGGAGAGTCATTAATCAAATAATAAATTAACAAAAGGTACAAAATCTTAACTCTAAATGTCTGTGAAGAAGACATGTATGAGTAAATAACGTAAAGGGCTGAACTAGTCTTTGGGGCCAGGGAAGCTTCTCTGAGGAGGAGGTGTTGGAGCACAGATCTGAAGGATGAGTATTAGTCAGCCAGGTATAAAGTAGGTAGAAGAGTACTTTAGGACAAGAGAAGAGAATCACAGAAGAGCAAGCAGTGAAAAGGAGCAAATTGCCTTCAATAAAGTGAAAGAAAGCCAGTGTGGCTGGTGAACAGGAAAGGGGAGGAATCGTGCTTTAAGATATGTCCAGAGCAAAACCACTCAGGGTCTTAGGCTGCTGTAAAACCTTTATCTTAAATGAAATGATTGAAGTGTTTAAAATGTACATGCTAGATGTAGTGGGCTATGGAGGATGGATGTGGACAATGATTAGATTTGCTTTTTTGCAGAGGTGATACATTCACAGTGCTCAAAAATCAAAACTACATATATAAACTCATTCATTATATTTGAAAATAAAGTTCCAACAAGATATATGTGTGTATGTGCGTGTGTGTGTGTGTGTGTGTGTGTAAGGAAATAGAAGTGAATGATTTTAATAGATAGTTGGGTAGTAATTACTATAAATAGTTTGTGATGGATAGGAATCAGGGAGTACACAGGAAGGATAAGTCAAAAATGATTTAGATTTCTGACCTATCAAGGACAGTTACAAAACAAGATCCACACTTGAGTGTTTGGAGAAGTGTATTAAGGTCATGGAATGAGTTAGAGTTATGGTGGAATTTTATATGACATGCACATGTATACATTTACATTTGCATATTCATATTAAGTAGAGATCTAAATGCTTCAAGAATATCTGTGATGCCTTAATTTATTTCAACATTTATTTATTCATTCAATGAGGTAAGGTAAGTTATTTATAGAATAAGCATTTGAAATTCCTTATAGAGTGGCCACACACCATTTGTGCACAGAACAAACACCCACAGGCACTCTGCATATAGACTACATTGTGTAGAACACCCTTTGTGCTGTGTAGTGCACAGCCTCCATGACCCCAGAGCCTTTGTTCCTACAACCAAGGCTGGGTAATAAACTCATTAATTAAGACAGAGTCCAGTTCAGTGAAGTTTTCTACAATATACTCTCTCCAGTTCATCCCACTGTCCTCAGTTAGGTCTCTCCTCCTCAATTATTAAAAGAAGAGTATGAGAGAAGATAGGCATCAAATGCCTGCCCTAAGAAACATCCTTTCAGATACTACTTCACCATGACATCTTTGTGATAAACATCTGCATAATGTTTTAATTCCGGCAACAATCAAAAACCAGCAGAGGTTTTTTATACCCTCTATCACTCTGGATGAAGACAAAGGTCACTGTGTTTTCAACTAAAGTAACTACATACCATTCTTAAAATGACATAAAGAATGATCAAGTAGAGCATGTTACTTTATGATACTAGAAAACACAGTTTTAGAAATAATATTTACATTGTGACTATATTTAGAGAAAAGAATGAAATATATTCAATGGATTACATTTAACTCCTTCTGGTTCTACAATTACATACATTCTCGCCTTACACCAAGAAGATTGTTCAAAAAGAAAAGTTAAGATAATATTGGTTAGGAATATCCTTTACATCCAATCCTGAATAAAATGATTCACATCCCTGACAATAGTAAAAGTATTTCCAAACCATAATTTTAATTTAATGTACTTCATACATGATAAATTTATACCTGTAATATATATACAATAAACTTACAATTTTAGTCAACTATATATACATATATATGTATCAAGAGTTGTAGATTACATGGAAAAACAACCCTACACTTAATTGGAGATGGTACTGTAGGGATATGAAATATGAGCTGATGTTGAAAAAGAAAATTTAAATATAGTGCAATGTGTTCCTAGAGAGAAATAAGCAGTCACTATGATTTACGGGTAATTTCCTTAGTTTTGTTTCCCTGTACCTATAATCAATTAACAGTCAGGCCTGAACAAACCCGAAAAACTCTGATCCACATTTTATAGTGGATGGGGGAAAATGCACCTGAAGCTACCAGATAGGATTAAAAGACTTCTCAGCATTTAGTTTTCTTCTCATTTGCTACCAGATAGGATTAAAAGACTTCTCAGCATTTAGTTTTCTTCTCATTTAACACACATTAATTCTCATTACCTATTTAACATGTACACAACACTGGGAAAATAAGTTCAGGCTCATAGGATGAATGTTTTTTTTTTAAGTTTTTCTTTCTCCCTCATAAGCAGTTCTTCCCTTTGACATAAATTACTAGCCTGTTCCAAAATGCCACTGATAAATACCCAAGTTTACAAGGGCAACTCACCACACTGTGCGCAAATGAGGGTATTTTCAAATAAACAAGGAAGTGGTCATGATCAAGGTTGAATTTAAAAGGAAAACAATACAAAAAAGTCCTTAAGTGCAAACTGCTTTGAAATGACCTTTTTTGTATTGGCTCTACCTCCAAGCAGTTATTTTCTTGGGCAGTACTTATTATGCATTTAATATTGACCTGTAAATTCTTTAAGGCAAGCATGCAATAGCAATTGTATGTAAACAATACAGGAAACTAAGTCCTGTCAGCTTACAAATATTTTCCTATGGAGTTCGTATGGCTGAACTAATTTCTAAGGAAATTTTTAAAGGCAGTTAGTTCAAAGCATACCAAAATAACTCTCACCTAGGATTTGCATTTGAATTTTATATGGCAAGCAAAGAGTACTAGTGGAGAGAAAATAGCAGTAAAATAGCAGAGAATAACCATACAAAGAAATAATCCCCTGGTTTGAATCATTTAAAAATAAAAATTTTGAGAGTAAAATGAATATGAAATATTACACTGCAAGAAAGACACTCTCTGAGTATTAATTATGTATATCCAAAAAACACTACAATATTTTATTGTTGCCAGAAATTTTTAAATTCTGAGAGAAATAAAATTTGAAGAGGAATAATCTCTATAAAAAGCAAAGTATAAGGCCATTTGCTCATAATCATTGGAGGAAATTCACACCCATGATCTGACCACAGCAGACAGATAGACCCAGTAGATCCACACGCAAACTCTTACCTTGACAGGTGCCATTTTTCTCTTCATATCCTGCCTCGCACATGCATTTCCCGATGGGCACCAGCCACTCCCCTTCAGCGCTGCAGTGCATTTTGGGTGGTTCATCTGTCACAGAATGGTTGACACAAGAGCCTGATACTTCGAGCAACTGTGAAGAATCAGCTCCAGTGATTGTGTCAGGGAAGACAGCCAAGTGTCGTACCACAGATGGGCACTTTTTATAGTACACTCGCACAGAGACCAGAGCAATGCAAGCACCCACATCTTGAAAAGCAAGATAAAATCCCTTTTTGCTTAGAGGTCCTACATCTCTGACCTCTGTATTCAGTTTCATGACACGGTCGCCAAGATCAAGTTCTGTAAAGCTTTCATCAGCAGCAATAGTATCAATTTTGATGTACTGGTTTTCCTTGATGTTTCTCCCATCTTCTTGATCTGACTCAAAATAATACATGTTAAAAGTTTCCTTACAGGTCCCCAGTCCTCCAGGAAGGCTGTTGCAGTCCCGGAGAGTGAACTTGAGTTCTATGAAGATTCTGGAAGCACCTTCATTGGAGATCCAACTGGTCAAAAGCCAGTTATTCTGATTTTGTTCCATAACTTTGCATACTTGGTATGTGTGGATAGGGGCATAATTTTCATCAACTTCACCAATTTCTTCCCACTGTATAATATAAAAGAACAAGGCAAATTTTTTAAATTAGAATATAACCAGCAAAAGTAGTCAAAGAAACAAATTCAGATGTAGAAATTTCTGTAGCCTTGAAAGAAAATTCATTTGTTTGAAATTAATAACAGATGTTTATTTCAATGAATCAATTTGTTTAGAACTCCTATAAATTGGATAGCCAAATGTTTATTCATGGATTTAGCCACAAATATAAACCTAGAGACAGATATAAAATAGAGATAAAAATTATAGATTAGAGAGGGCAGAGCCAAGATGGTGGCATGAGTAGAGCAAAGGAAATCTCCTCCCAAAACCACACATATCTATGAAAATATAACAAAGACAACTCTTCCTAGAATGAAGACCAGAGGACACAGGACAACATCCAGACCACATCCACACCTGCGAGAACCCAGCGCCTCACGAAGGGGGTAAGATACAAGCCCTGGCCTGGCAGGACCCGAGCACCCCTCCACACAGCTCTCTGAAGGAGGAGAGGAGTCTGAGTGGAGAGGAAGAGGGAGCCCAGGACTGCTTAACACCCAGCCCCAGTCATCCGGACCAGAGCGCAGACACAGTGCATGCATGGGGTCTTGGATAGGAGGGAAAGAGGGCAGCAGGACCAGAGAGCGGGTACAGGAGGCCGGAAATGGAGGACAAAAGAAAA